AGTGATTTTTCTCGGGATTTTTTTTTTTCGAATAGAGCTGGCGTGGAAGATTTCATTTGGAATTTAAGGTCGAAATTCGATCTTTTTATTGTAAAGCATTATTTCCACATGTTTGGTTCTTTTGCTTCTACAGGCAATTTTATTTACAGTATTTTTTATACTTTACAATCAACATTTTTTAAGATTAACGGAGAACTTAGTACTCAATAAGTACCGAAAAAAATCATTAAAAGAGCAAGTTCTGGTATCGAAAATTTGTCTTCTGGTACTACAAACGAAATAAATACTATTAAATGAATATAATTCCATCCTATCCGGCTTTTTTAGTCGAATACTCGACATTCTGCTGTACTCACAAACAACAGCAGGGTTTTTAGTAATTAATTCTGTATGAAATTTTGTAACCGCAACTTCAATATTAATTCGCAACCTTGGAATCGAGACATCAAACGGAATTGCAGGGAATATTGCGAAAATAATGTTCCAGATATTCAATTAAGTCTAGACACGTTTAATAAGATGTAAACGCAAAGAGGAAACTAAAAGGGTTCATCTAAAGGATTATTTGGCCTGCAGTTAGTTAATCTGCCTTTCCCTATTTATGTAGGGTGCCAGGAATTTTGATGATTAAATTTTATACATAGTCGTAATATTATTAAAGCAACAAAAGGAACTTATACAAGGTGTTTTATTCATACTATATAGGTTTTTGTGATTCTCTGGGTGATCTCTACATAGGATTAAAATATGACCATTTCCCAATGAAACACCCTGTATATCGGATTTATAAATTTAGTGTGTATCGTTACTAAGTAGCATTTTCAATTTGTGATTAATCAGCAGTAAATCCCACGGTTTCTCTTTTTCTTTTTGATCGACTATGAACATATTATTCGATGAAATTTTCATTAACTCTGAAGCGTTTTTCCGGCGATGCTATTTCGATTTTAATCTTCGAAGATAAATGTTACGAGCTATAAATACACTCTTAATTTACTTTTGGAAAAGCGGCATTACAGGAAATATTTTACGATTGAAAAATACCGAATCATTCAAATTGTGGGCAGCTAATTGAATTCGATTTCGCCGCAACGTTGATAATTAGGTAATATTTTCAGAATTTTATTTCCTTTTTGCGCTCGTTGAATACGATTTTTTGTTTGCAAAAAGGTTTTTTCCCTTTCCCGGTAGTAGTATACGTTGGAAGGTATTAAATAACAAAACCTGTTTTAAAAACGAATGAAAAAAGTGAATAAAGGGAGTGCTTTTTATAGGTAAAGTACAAAGGACACGAGATTTTCCTGTAAAAATGCGTGCCGTTTTTCATTGGAAAATCGCCTATCGATATTCATTTCCCAGGAGTATTAAATTCAGGATCGTTCTTGAATAAAACAAGCGCGTTGAATTTAAATTTTAAATCCATCTAGAATATTCCAAATCGGCATTCTCTTCCAATTAAAATGTAAACTCACCTACGAAGAGGTGCATCAACAATTCATGTCAGCTCGAGAATTTTGTAATAAATTTCATATTATAATTTCTCTTATAGAATATTTTCATCATTATATCTGTACCAGCCTGTAGAATAAGTACATTTTTTAAATGCATTTATTATAAATGCTTGTGGTTACAAAGAAAAGAACAAGTTCGTGCGATTCAAATTCATGTAACCTTGCGTTTCACTTAGGGAATCAATGTTAAAGTTTCTAGTGCAATCCGAATTTATCCTTGCATATTAGATTAGTCGTATGAAATCGGTCTTGACCTAAAAACAGTGCATCGAATTAAATTTTACGCCAGCAGGAAACCCGGCGAATCGGTGTAGTTTTTAGGGATGTTTCATTTATGTTTTTATCTACTTTTATACAATCAAAAAAGACTGTCAAGTCACCTAACTTCGTTTCGAACGAATTTCCCGTCTCAGCGTAATTGCGAAAGGATAAAAAGGGACCCTCTTCGAAGAAACAACAAAGGGAGCCACTTAAATATAGTATCTGGATAAAAAGGCATCGAGGCGTTCATTCATAAATATTTACATTGCTTAATCTTTGTTTCTTATAGATTTACAGTTGAATTCGCATAAGCTCGATGTAAAGAGGTCGATAAGGCAGAGAAAAATAATGAAAATTTGTTTAAGGGATAAAAACACAAAAAAAATTAATTGCAAAAATATTTTTTTCTCTAATCTAAAATATATGTATAAGGTGTTTCATTAAGAAAGGATGAGTTTAAGCCTATATGGGGGTAACCAAGGGTCTCATAAAAAACCCATGATGATATATGGGTTACGGGTACTACACCTTTTTTCAGTTGTATTTCAGAAAGCGTCAATTGAATTCAAGAATAGTCACTTATATTTCGGTAAGTATCCGTTGTATTTCAGAATAGTCAATTTGATTTCAGATATCATTAATTGTATTTCAGAATAGTCAATTGTATTTAAGAAATTATCATTTGTGTTTCAAAAAGTGTCATTTGTATTTCGGAAACCGTCAAAAGGATTTTAGAGTCCCATTTGGAATGCAGAAATCATATGCCAATTATTATTAACGAACAAGAAAAACTCAGTCCACTCCACAATTTATATTATTTTTTCAGACTTGAAACAACTTCTCTCCGGAATTGAAATATTTTTTCTGAAATCGAAATTATTCTTCTGGAACTAATACCTTTATATTTTTTTCTGAAATTGAGATTGAAAAGCTATAGATATTGAAGAATTCCGAAATACAAATGATGATTTTTGAAATGAATTTGACTATTTTGAAATTCATATGATCGTTTCCGAAATCGAACTGACTATTCTGAAATACAACTGATGGTTTTTGAAATCAAATTTATTATTATGAAATACAATTGATGCTTACTGAAATCGAAATGATTTTTCTGAAATACAATTGATACTTTCCGAAATATAAGTGACTATTCTGAAATTCAATTGACGCATTCTTAAATAAACCTGACTCTTTCTGAAATACAGTTGGAAATGGTATAGTTACAGGACGTTTTGTAAATCACTTAGTATAATAACATATTATAAATTTTTTGTTCCTGTAGATTTACATACGATAGCAATTTCCGAATAATTCAAGCGAAAGTGTTAATTATTCCTCTCAATACATTATCGAAAAACATTTCAATTAACCGAGCCGATTAGGAAGAATAGCAAAATGGTGCATTTGGGTCCCGGAATGCAGTACGTGGCCGAAGGAGGCAAAGCGCACTTCTCTCCTGCGAATCCCCAGGATATCATGATTGAATCCAAAAAGATCGTAAGTGCGGCATTTGCATTGCATGGCGCGTAACGCGAAAATTATGGCCCTGCGGTATGCAGTACGTAAAATTGTGGGAATTCGTTAAATCGAGCCTGCATAAATTGTTGGCTAAACCTAAACAAAGCTCGGAGGAATAAAATAGGTTCTGCAGCTACACAAATATTTACTTTCTAAGAAAATGTTAAATTTCGACTTGTGTAAATATTTGGTCGTTCAACTTTAACTACTTAGTTAAATGTTTTAGTTTAATTTTAAGCAATTTTTATGACAGAATCCAACTTACCCTATATACAGTGCTTTTCAAGGAAAATGTCATTAGAACTTAGGAGTTCCTAAAGAGTTACGAATCTGAAAATTTAGTAGCAAGGAAATACCTTATAGAAACAACAATGGAGATACCAAAACTGCAGCCAAAAACATGAAAAAGTTATTCCTTTGGTAAATAAGGAGGTTTAAAATCAACCAATCCCAGTAGCAGTTCACATACGCGAAAATGACCTGAATTAGCTATACACCAATTTGACATTTTGAAAGTTTCTATGTCCTTTTCATTTTCAAGGTTAACAGAAGCTGCCAAAATCAGCTGCGACTATTGATCAAAGATTTGCTTTTCAAATCGATTAAAAAATTGATCATTCGATTCGAACCACTTTTGAAGCAATAAAAAATTCTGTAGGTTTGATATCAGCACGACGGAGCTACTTAATGATCGAGTCCTAAAAGAAGCTAAACTGAATTTTCGTGGTCTAAATACAGGGCGTTTAAAAATATCTGACAAACTTGGCTAAATTAAAGTAGCTATAACTTTGTTATTTCATATGGATCACCCTGTATCTTTACGCATTGAGCAATGGGCATTTTTAAGCCCTTTCGATCCATATGGGTATTCCCTATGCCCAAATCCAGGCGTTTTTGAAATAATCGAACTTTTAATAGAGGTATGTACAGGGTGGCCAAACAAGGATGGTACTTGGCAATATCTCGAAAACTAATTTTCATAAAGACTTGCGGTAAAAAATCGGGGCGGGGAGCATCCGCCATCTTGATTTTTAAGTCATTATTTTCAAAATTTTCCTTAATAAAGGTATCAAAAATGTTTTTTATTTTGATAATCGAGATAATATTGTTTCTTTTTAATTTTTCTTTTCCTTTTTTTTCATATTGTTTCTTAAATAAAAAAACAATTATACCATTACACACCCACATTAAAATTTATTCATGAGCCCTTGGTTTACTTTTTTTATTCGAAACGTTTCGGGATTTAGTAGGCGCATATACAAAATAAAAATGCTAAATTCGCTATGTGTACTTCGAAATAGAATTATTGCTAGCATAAAACCTCTATAAATGGGGAATTATTCTCTCGACTTTTGCGACGTTATCGCGAAGAATATACGGGAGATGTGGCACTCAACAATAGGAAATAATTGGACCGAATACACGCGAAGTAAAAGGAAGGCTGACGGTTTATTTCTATAAAAAGATTTCCTCGTTGGCTGGAAAAATTTATACTCGTATACAGACATAATGTTATCAGAGTTATATGGCAGATGATCCCGCCAGATGATACAAATTTCATCAGAAGCTTTTTTGTTAAATAATAATTGTTATTTACTAAATACAAATTTATTAAATAATTTAATAGAAACATGTAAAAAATAAATATATTGTAAAGGGATTTTCAAGAAAAAAATCTCATTTAAAATATTAAATATATAAGAATTAGCGACATTCAACTAATATTTTACAATAAAATTAAAAATCGAATAAATACTGCGGCGATATAATCGGATTAATCGCATCAAAAGACACCCTATAATTCCTATAAATTTCATAAAGCTTTAAAGGCGTGACAGTATTGATATTCTCCCACATGCTCTTCAACTGGACGATGCATTTAGTAACCTAAAAAAAATACAAATTTAGCACGAATATATCTCCGAATGTAAGTCTAACAAAAACTTACGCCATCGAAGGCAGTCCCTTTTCTTCCGCATCTTCTAATTTCCCGCGCCAATTTTCCGATTTCCGCGACGAAATCCGCGTGGGAAGACACGATAGAAAACAGATCGTTAGCCTTTTCGAAATCCAATTCGAATTTTCTCACGCACTTCGCAAAAACGAAGGAAAATAAATAGTGATGGATACCGTTTAGGAGATTTATCAGGGCGAATCTGAGGTACATCAGTCTGGTGTTGATGTATGCGTTGGCTCTGCATTTGTGCTTTTTGGACGGGTCTTTTGGTGATAAATCTGCAATGATATTATATACAGGGTGGTGGGAAAGTAATGGCCCAAACTGAAACGGAAGATTCTCGACCTCAAAATATACTGCTCCACAAAAGTTAAGGAAGTTCACAAGTATTGAGATTTTTTAAAAGTTGCAGGTTTTTTGATCGCCAAATTTAGTATGAGTTGTAGAGACAGGGACAAAAAATCCACTCAGATATGAGAGAAAACATTTAATTTTGCATATTTGAAAATTTGGTGATCAAAAAATTCTGTAACTTTTAAAATAATCGCAAAATTTGCGAACTTCCTTAACTTTTGTGGAGCAGTTTATTATGATCTGAGCCAACTTGCTTTAGTAAAATATTGAAAATAAAAACGATACAAAGTGGCTAAGTTAAAATCAAATAAATGATTTATCGCAGCCTTGAAAGATTTTAGATGTACAAAAGTGAAAATTAGAAGAGACAGGTGTTTTAATGCAAGAGAAATCATAATATGATATCCGTTTTGAAATATTTTCTAGAGGGCGCCACATGAGCTCTACTGTTTATGTACTTTTTTATTCCTTAAGCTAATGTTTTTTTATTGCAAAAATATTGAACACAAATATTGAAACAGTAATATTAAAAAAAAGGTATACTTATCGTTAAGTTAATAATTTTTGAGTAAACCATATTTAAAGAACCAACTACATAACATACTTGTTAATATTTTGACTTATTGCTAAAGCAAATATTATGAAATTATTAACTTTTTTTAAGAAAAATAACAAGGAGACTTAAGAAATATGGATACTACATTTTAAAACTGATAACACAATGAAATTATTATTTCAGTATACATAATAAATGTTCAATAGGTTCAACCTCGATTCTCAATAATTTGATAGAAAATATAAAAGAACAAAATAATGAATGGACCAAAATAATAAAATAAAGTAATTAATTTCCCTAAATAAAAGATTTTTCTTTATCTTAAAGGAATTTAATGAAATGAAAAATCTGTAGTGTGGTTTTTTAAAATTCGAATAACTCGAAAACTAGTAACTTTTGAGGCTAACAACAAGTACACTTTTTTTTCATAAAAATATCTCAAAACGAGAGTTATCATATTATGATTTTCACGTTCGTATATCCAAAAACTTTCAAACTGTTGCGAAAAATCATTTTTTTTCATTTTAATTTTACTACTCTGTATCTTTATGTTTTTAATATTTTAATAAAACAAGTTGGCTCAGATCTGAATATTTTGAGGCCGAGATTCTTCCCATTCACGTTGGGTCATTACTTATGGACCACTCTGTATATTATGTACGTTTTTTTACATTTTGAACTAGTTCTAATAATAATTACTAATAAAGAACTATTAAAAAATTATTCTAAACTAAATAAACTTTTCTTCTTAAAATCATCCAAATATTCACATCCTGAAGTATCGGCACTCAATTAATTAACACCCTTTATATTTGCATGAAAAATCTCACCTGAAAAGGACAAGTGATTCAAAGTGTACAGTGCCCACTTAATTTTCAGTATGAAATCGAACGTTTCCCTGTACACGGACATTTGCGCGTCGGTTATAATGATATTCAACGGCCATTTGATATCCATTTTAATGCTTATGGTGTCGCAGGCTTCCAAAGAGTCTCCGCAATTCGTCCAATTTTTGCGGACCACCACCAAACATCTGTCGTAAAATTCCGGGTAAATGTCCATTATTATGTCTTGAAGATGAGAGGTGAGCCATAAGTCGTTGCCCCAATTTTTATTTCCAGCGTTCACCTAAAAAAAAACCACGATTTTGATTAAAAATATTGGTGATTCTCTGTCTAGCCTTGTAAAATTGGCTGTAGATAAGCTAGAGACGTGGAATTATCACCAAACACAGCCAGGCATCCACCAAGTATTTTCGCGCCCAGTAAATTTCAAGGGGGAAGTTACAAGGAGGGAAATTCTAAGGGAAACCAATCCTTTGAATGAGATCATGAATCTAAATGAAAACGAGTTACTAATTTTGAACAATGGTGTACATATTGATTCATCATAGTTTGCAATATACAGTTGGTGCAAAATAAAAATCAATGCACGTCACCTACAATTTACTATGTCACAAGTAGGCAGTGTTGCCGAATTTTTATAAAGTTTACAAAATCTAAGAATTTTCTAAAATGACAAGAACAAATTGGAAATTAAAATGTTTCTAAAGGGTGGACGTATTCAGGGGCTAATTTTAATTAATCATCACATTCCTTTATCATCTGAAATATATTTAACAGTGCGAGTACAAAATTTAGTGCACTTAAAAGAGTACATAGTAAAATTTCTGAGAAAATTTCTAAATCTGAATTATTTATAGAGCTCAAATTATTTAATTTCTAACCTGTGGAAAAGATAACTACGCAAAAAATTCTTATTTCTTGATTATTAGGCTGAATAGCCTTTAGTAGTTGGGGGTAGTAAACTAGAAAATAGAAGTAATTGAAAATTAAAAGAACCGATCGGATGACAACGGCAACTATGCAATTTGACAGTCAGTGACTACCAACCTACTATAAGAAAATAATAATAAATTTATATAAAAACGTTGAATTTGAACAAATATTTTTTTTGGGTGATTTAATTCTGCTTTTTAACATCTATTATTCCTTGTTAATAATAAAATAAATTCTGCAGGTATTAAGCTTAATCTATTTTATGTGTGAGGTGCATTGATATTTGTTTTGCACCAACTGTATGTAATATAGGCTATGGGCGCAATAAAGACAACTTATTCCATTAGACACTTTTAAAAGAAAAAGAAAGAGTAATATTGTGTGATTGCAACTGTTCCCTCTAACAACTGTTTTTTTAATAATCTTTCTTTGTTCAACTCAGAAATGACCATATTGTAAACTGAAATGCACCATAGGGTATAAAGGATGACACAAAAGCTATACCTTTTCGAAAAACCGCCTGTAGAATTCGAAAATAATATTATCGGCGAACATGTACACGTGCCTGAGGAATTGGAATTTCTTCTCTAGCATATGATGCTCAATAAGGAGGTTCTTGACTCTAATGCAGGACACTGCGAATCTTTGCTTCAGTATATCGTTTAAGATTTTTTCGAAAAAGTTCGTTATCAAAAACGAGGTTTTAGTTATTTTCGAAATTCTGAAACAAACGGAATAAAATGATTAAAAGGCGTATTAGTAAAATAATAGTCCGTATTTTATAAAAATGAAGCATTTACTTTGAAGTAAAAAGTAAGAGGAAAAGGTTTTGCTCTGATCCATATTCATAATCTTGGCCATTTCCATGCAAGGAAACGTTTCGTCAAACTATAGTCGAAACGAGCCTAAATGGTTCTAAACAGTTTTAAATGATTCTGGAGCGTTCTTGATTGATCTAGATTGATCTAACCAGTTCTAAATGATTTTAGTCAGTTCTAGATGATTCTGGAGCGTTCTAAATGGTTTTAGAAAGTTCTAAATAAGTCCAGACAGTTTTAAATGATTCTGGAGCGTTCTTGCTTAATCTAGATTGATCTA